CAGAGGGGGAGCAGGTGGCGGCAGCCATGCATGGAGTGGGGGGCAGCAGCCGCATGCAGAGAGGCTGAAGTGCAGGGTGGTGGTCGGTGGCAGCAGCAACCACCGCATACAAGCTTTCCACCCCTTGCCTCCCCCTCCAATCTGTGTCAAGCCAACTAGCCATAAATTCCTGTTAATAGAGTGTTCCGGTTACTTAAATGCCAGATAACAGGGATTTTACTGTACTTCACTCGATCTGCTGGCAACACTCGTAATAACACAACCCAGTATGCTGTTAGCCTTCTTGGCAACAAGGGCACACTGCTGACTTGTAGCCATCTTATTAGCCACTATAACCCCCAAGTCCTTTTCTACAGAACTGTTGCTTAACTGTCTCCAACCTGTAGCAGTGCATGGGGTTGTTCCTCTTGCCTTTACTGAGCCTCATGAGATTTCTTTTGGTCCAGTCCTCCAATTTGTTGAGATCTCTCTGAATCCTAGCTCTACGTTCTAGCGTATCTACTACTCCCCCCATCTTGGTGTCATCTGTAAACTTGCTGAGGGTGTACTCCATCCCATCTTCCATGTCCTTGATGAAAAAAAGATCATGTAATCCAGCTTTTATTAGTACGATCTCTTAAATACAAGAAAACAAGTTCAGTTCTCAATGAAATCATTTCCACGTGTCATTGTCTCTGCATATGCATGATGATTTAGTATTTCCCTCTGAACATTTAAAGTATGAGATTTAGCCACAAACTGTACTTTAAAAATATTTTAATACATGTAACCCAATTAAATTGGAACATAGTGTTAAGAATTACAGCACTTCAGAATCTTGCTAGTTTATTCATATTTTCCTTTTGAGGTCCCCTTTCAATTATATTTTAAACAGCATGGCACTGACTACATGCTGAAAAAATGAATAAAAAATTCTAGGCCAAGAAGATCTATGTTTAGCAAACATTATTCATAGACATATGGAAAAGATAAAAGTAAAATATTGAATTGTTTTAGGCAGTCATACCTCCATGGATATTAATATTATTCCCAGTCCCCAACTTGTCAAAAAACACTGAATGAAATTGTTATCTTTGAAGTAAAAGGCAAATATCCCATTGACTTAAATTGCACCAAGATTTCACGCTAATACTTCATCGTTAAAAGGTGTCATCAGATTATGGATTATTAGCAGAGTCATGAATCCCTGTCTTGCTTGTCGTGTGTTTCATGTCTTCTGGACAAAGATCACCTGTTACTGTAAATGTTGTATATTATAGACAGCATTTTGAAGCGCCTTATGACTTAATTGTTAATAATAAAATGCAGACCAGTAGTTTGGAAATTCAGAATAAATACATGAGCAATTGGATGTACTCCTCTTAGATTTTTATAAGTTTGTCCTATATATCACTTTAGATTTGCAATAAGAATTCAGTTTCGATATCTTCAATCACTTAAATGTGCTAAGAGATTAATAGTCCTCATGCTTACTACTAAAAGCCAAAGTAACCTGCAGATTTATAACAGTTTTAAAGATATCAAGGACAAGCTAAATGAATGTGATACATCAGTGCATGCCATATAAGTACATAAAGTGAGCAAAATACTGAATTACCTCTTTATGCAAGTGGAGCTCTATCCAAAATTCATTCAAGTCAGTAGGGTCTTTATATTTTCTTCTGTCATCACTGCAGACAGGGCTCAAGTGGAAATAGATTTGATGATGCATGTAATGTTGTGGTACTTAAACCCAAGGAAACCTGACTTTTAAAGGCATGCCTTAGAATTCAGTATATTCCTCCTTAAATTAAAATGAGTAAGTTAATCTAGAAACAATACATAAACAGAAGTTAGTGTATTTCACCGAGATTGACCATTAAAATATGAGAGAGGGCATAGGTCACAGATAAGGAGAAGCACCAAAGGGAAAAAGAAAAATTACAGTTTCTTTTTCATATTTCTTTTTCAGGAAATATATTTGTCATCAACCTGGCTATTGCAGACTTGGTAGTGGCCATCTACCCATACCCTCTTGTCTTGACATCTGTATTTCGTAATGGATGGAACCTGGGATACTTTCACTGCCAAATCAGTGGTTTCTTGATGGGTCTAAGTGTCATTGGATCAATATTCAACATTACGGGCATTGCTATTAATCGATATTGCTACATCTGCCACAGTCTCAAGTATGACAAGCTGTATAGCGACAAGAATTCTCTGTGCTACGTCATTCTCATCTGGATCTTAACATTTGTTGCCATTGTGCCCAACCTATTCGTTGGATCTCTACAGTATGATCCCAGGATCTACTCATGCACATTTGCACAATCTGTGAGTTCAACATACACAATAGCAGTGGTTTTTTTCCATTTCATGCTTCCTATAGCCATAGTTACATTTTGTTACTTGAGGATATGGATACTTGTTATTCAGGTGAGGCGAAGGGTTAAACCTGACAACAAGCCCAAACTGAAGCCACATGACTTTAGAAACTTTGTTACCATGTTTGTTGTGTTTGTACTGTTTGCAGTATGCTGGGCTCCTTTGAACTTTATAGGCCTTGCTGTGGCCGTGAACCCAGACACAATAATCCCTCGGATTCCGGAGTGGTTGTTTGTATCCAGCTACTACATGGCATATTTCAACAGCTGCCTTAATGCTATTATATATGGACTCCTGAACCAGAATTTCAGAAGAGAATATAAGAGAATTATTGTCACAATTTGTACAGCCAAAGTATTCGTTCAAGAGAGTTCTAATGATGCAGCAGACAAAATGAAAAGCAAACCATCGCCACTGGTTACGAACAACAATCAAGTAAAAGTAGATTCTGTGTGAAATCAGGAGCATTACTCTTGTTACTTTACAGCACTCAAACACTCAGTCCGATTTTATTATACTGAAGGCACTTGGACATGGTTTTTCATGCAGTATTTGTGAGCCAAAGTAACACAGGCTTGATATAAAAAGCCTCCTGTTTGCAATGACCTATCTTTCAAATACCAACTCAAGTATGTACTTACAGTTTTAAAAATTTGTAGAAAGAAACATTTTAATTTTATGTGTAATGGGAAAACAACTAGAGATGGAATGGAACAAAAATATCCTTGTGACATGGTTCTTTGCAAAAGCATCATACAACCATCTCCGTCCAACCTCTCCCTTGCACCTTCTTAGTTGCAAGTCAGGTTATGATCCTGATGAGTATCCAGAATATTCATTCTGGTGTTAGGAAATGTGAAAAAGAGGAACCAGACTAAAAAACCTCAGTGAGCATTCACTAGGTTTATATAAGTTCCTACAGTGGTCATAGTTTTTACTTTGAGGTAAATAGACCTCCCTACTCCCTTTAGGAATTGCACAACCCTTCTTGCATTCTCCTTTTAAAAACCTTTTCAAAGAAATCCACATACCTGATTATCTCAAGAGCTACAAGGACAGAGGTACTTACGGGAGAGTGGGGATGGTCAGAGAGCATATGTGGGTCCCCCAGATCAGGCCGCACAAGGGAGATCCTGAGAAATGGAGAATGGCAAACCTCTCTGATTTTCAGGGACAAACTACACCAGAGAAGATTGAAATCCCCCACAGGAGACAAGGGGAATGAATGATACCCCCTGGACACATTAGGAAGAAGGACCAATTGGTTTTCAATGATGTGAAGTGTGCATTGGATACCAACCAACTGGTCTCTCTTTAAGAAGCCAACACCAATTAAGATGGGCATCTGTTTAGGGAATGGGAGTTCATTTGGAGAGGGTAGGGAGGATATTCTACTTAGCTGAAATTCCAACAAGATGAATCCTGAGAACTGAGATAATCATTAAAATGCACAGTTCCATCAGATGGCATTTTGCCTACTTTCTGACCCTGTCCTCCCTCACTTAGTGTCAGTGAAGAAAATCAATTTGTGATCGTAGGTTTCAGCTTTTAAATGAGTAGGTGGAGGTCCTTTCAAAACATTCACAAATTCTGTCTTTTAAGTGATGTTAAAAGGAATGTTACACTATAGTACATCTGAAAGGTTTTCTAATCCTCAACCAACCTATCACTGATACCGTGTTCACTGATGCTTGAGCTTTCCCAAGTCAGTTCCAACCATCTCTTCAGGAGTAAGAATTTTTAATAGCTTATCAAACTTTAGTTGTTATATGTTAAAATGTACATGATATTCAAACTGATTCATTAAAATAATTGCACAATGCAATCTGAAAATATTTGCTTTTCAGCAGCCTAGGATATGATGTCCTTGAAACATTAAATATTCAATATAAGTCCTTAAGCTATGTATAACTTCAAAAGCATCTCATATATCTTTGGACATATACACTTGACTTAATATAAATTATGAGTTAAACAAAACACATTCATACATACTTGAAAACCCCACTGACACTTTGATAAGTGAGCAGTTTTTTAACTTTAAAATAGGTGCCTCATGTTGTCCTTCATTCACTTCAAGTTTACAGTGGAACTAATTATCACAATGAACAATTTGAGAGATGAACAAGATAGTCAGTGCATTACCAAGATGCTTGATTCATCTCTGTTTATGTTCAAACCTTTGTCTAAGCCACCGTGTACATATGGTCTCTTCTATTGTCATATCATTATATGATATGAGACAATTAACAGCATAAATTATATCACAGCTTCCTTCACTGTGATTTCATCCTGAGAGGATGCTAAGCTGTGATGTCATTGCTTTGTATGTGTAGCTTTATCCAAATAATGAGGGAGGCAAGACCACCCTGTACTAGTCATATAACTAAATAAAATATTTAATTTTTTACCAAAATCTTGCCTTCTTAAAATATATTTCCTCTTTAAAATAGTATAATATTTAATGTTGAATCTAAGTTTCATTAAATAGGTTGTGTAACCTAACCCTTGGTAAATTCGGTATTGTCAAAGTTTTTTCATTTGCCCTTTTCAAATGGAAGCTTACTTGTTTATCATGTCATGTATAAAATAAGCTTTGGAAAAGTTGTTGAAGTTAATGTATCCATCCATGTGGGTTATCCAAGGAATTAAAATCCCTTCTAAATCACAAGTGCTAAAAATGTTTTTGATTTTAATAAAAATTACTTGCTTTATGTAATAAATAATATACTATACCAAAGGTATGTATTTTGGTGAATAGGTCTGTAATTAAAATTAAGAGCATTTTTCAGATCTGGTGTTTTGAAATATTTCTGTCAAGTTGAAAAAATGACAAAAATGTGCATGGTAATGATACTCTGAGGTGCTAAATATAGCAATAATTCCATGTTATTTTGCGGGGTTTCTTAATCCATAGCTATTTATTTACTCTAAATTAATACAGATAGGTCATTTAGGAAATTATTTGCTGAACTACTCAAATTCTTTCTCTTTTTTTCTCCACTCAAAAACATATTTTTAGGAAAGATTTGCAAAGCAACCTCAAGCACAAAAGGATTATTTATTAAAATTGAAATACCAGTGCTTAGATGCCTGGTAATGTTTTAAGGAAGTGATTCTCAACCAGCGTGCGATTCTCAAGGTAAACCCAGAGATTTCAAATAGGAATCCATAGTATAAAAATGATAAGATCTGCTGTGATCTTTCTGTGTTCTTTGCAACAGAAAAATTGCTTTATTATTTTATTATTTTTCTATAGTAAAAAAAATGAGCGAAAACTAAGAGCTGGTATTTTCTGAGTGGTACCTTGAGTCTGAAGGTTGAGAACCACTGATTTAGAGTCTAGTTTTTCCAGAGGCTCAGTGACTTAAGCAATAAATAGCTATTCCTGGACTTGCTCAGAACTTCATAGAATCAAGTCCTGTGTGATCAAGTAATGGTTAGAAAACATACCCTGCTTCCTTCTCAATAAGAAGATATGCTCCAGAAGTTGTGCATTTACCCAAGCAGACTTGCTCTTTAGGACAGCTCAATGACCTTCAGATACAAGGAAACATGTTTTACACCCTAAGTGGTGAAATTCACTCTTCTGTTGAGGCACACAGTCAGTATAACTAAGATGCATTTTGAAGCCTCAGTGATGCATTGGTCCTCTCCAGAGTGAAATATATTCTAACAAACCAGTCCTACAGTGTGATGTACACTGCTGGATCCCCGTTTCTGTACAGACTCTTAGTAATGTCATTGGAGAGCCATGCAGGAACAATATCTACCTATATGTGCAAGATGGCTATACCAAGGCCTGAATGAGCATGATTTTACCCAGCAAGAATTCCTTTCTACTACATAATCCTGACTGTGATAATCAGAGTCTCTTTCAATGTGTCACTATATCATGTATTTTGTACCAGAAGCTTGATTAGTGATCATTTTGTTGCGAACATTACATGACAGAAAAGTAAGGCAGAATTTCATTTTAACCCGTACAGGAAAAAAATATATTAATCTTAGTTAACAAGTGCTTACAGTATTTAAACTGTGTTTGTATGCAACCATGTACTTAGAAACAGCTTGCTTAATACTCTGTACTTTTATACAATATTTCTTTCCTTCCATTGTGCTAACACTGGAAAAATTTGGAAGTAAAAGTATATTATTTGATGTGGGCATCAGAGAAATCAAACTTTATTTGTTTTTCAGTACTTAATATTTTAGAAGATTATTATCTCTTTGAATAATCCATAATACGCTATTTGACCACATAATAGGTACATGGTGACTCAATAACTCTTTTTACTATGATTTGTCCATATTTCACCTTTGTATGGCTTTTTGGACTATTTTTGGAATGCTGTTACTCATCAGCATCAACAAAAAATCATGATGCAGTGAAGGGATTTATTGGTTCATTGCAATTGCACAGATCATGTTCCAGTAATAAACCTACAAATATTCAGTATATTAAACACACACTAATTGTGATCACAATGTAAAACAGGGTGGGGCAAGGGGCTGAACAGTTGCAACCTTAGTGCTTGAAATAACATATTTATAAACTAACACTAGTAATATAAAATGACTGTTATTTTCTATGCTTCTGACACATGCACTATCTGTCTATAATTTATAATTCTAGCAGGTTAAAAGAGTTAAGACTTAAAAGAGTCTGTCATTTTCTGACTGAGACTTTGGGAATAATGTGTGCCAACAGAGCTAAACTTGTATTTCCAATACAGAGTTTGTAGAAAGAAACATTCATAGTGCCTAACTTATACTCCATGTACTGTATCTACAATTTTTGCCTAATTTAAAGGAGAATCCCATTTTGTGGTTCAGTTATTTTAATTATAAGAAAATTTTTCTTCCTACCTCAATAACTTGGACGTGCTAGGAAGCTCCGATTATCTAATGGTGTGGAACTTCCCATGGTACGAGATTTTCTTCTAGAAGAAAGAGGAAATTCATGAAAAGGAGGTTTGTACATTAAAATTGTTATAGGTTTCCTTAAATGTATATGATATGTTTGCTGCCCAAACTGTTCACATTACCAAGCACTAACCATAGAATATGTTTATTTAGATAGATATATTGTATGTAAATGTGTTAGTAGTAATATTAAAGATAAAGGGAAGAGCCAAGATCCTAAACTTATGTATATCAACATAGCTCCATTGATTTACGCCATCTGAGGATCTGGCAGAATTTACTTTCATAAATGTACAGGACACCTATCTTATACCACTACACAACCTATGTCTTAATTTTAAAGTTAATCATTTGTAAAATTGTCTGGGTCGTACCCAGGTTGTGGAGGAATGTGAAATTGCCTGCTAAGTACCTGCAAAATAAATTTCATTCAATGAAGTTGTCTATGTGAATTATCATTTTTAATAAAATGAATATGTAAACTGTATGGTTTAGTTAAACTTCTAATGATGTTTAATTATTGACTAAGCTGGTAGACCCAAATAAGCATTTGACTAATATCCAGATATCATTGTCCTTATGCAATTCTAGGTATATACAGTAATCACCTTTCCACTCAGATTTCCCCCTAGTGATGTCGCCAAGAGTGTACAAGGATTTCTGCTTATGACAAAGGATATGTTTATGCAAAATAGGTTGCTTATCTTGAAAATTCTTTGATTAAAAATATTGCTTATTCATAAGAGTGTTCTCATTGATCTCATTAAAATGTATTTGTTTAAACAAGTGATTCTCAACCAGGGTCACAGCACTCTGGGGTGCTTCAAGATTCTTTCAAGGGTGCTGTGGGGTTCCCCAAAAGGTTATCAATATTTGGTTTGCAAGCATAAAATCACAAGATAAACCCAGAAATAGAAATCCATAGTTGTAGCCTTTCTGAGATCTTTGCAACAGAAAAAACTGCTCTATTATTTTTCTGTTGTCAAAAAAAACGAGTGAAAACTAAGAGTTGGCATTTTCCGAGCAGTGCTTTGAGTCTATCCAGGGGTGTCTCATGTCTAAAAAGGCTGAGAACCACAGGGTTAAGCCCTCCATGACTGAAACTTAGGATAATAGAATACTCAAGAAGGCATACATTATACATCATGTTACAACACTAAATATGCACTGGGGAATTGTCCATTGCTGGACCGAGAATTACATCAAAATATTGTTATGTTACAACTGCCAAAAAGTAAACTTGTGGCCCAAAAAATCAAATATGTGTAATCTTTCATACAGTACTGAATCATATAACGTCCAGGCCTTTGCAATTCTAAATATTCCAATGCCCTTTGTTACTATGTTGAAGAAGCAAATAAAAATACTTTAAATGATATATAACTGCATATCCTACAAACATATATTCATCCTTCAAGCCATGTTGAAGGACATATAAGATTAGATATGGTAAGTTTTTCGACTGTAATTCTATCTTAACCTAGACATTTCCATCCAAGTTCAGCAATTTTTATCAAAAAATGGGTGCATCAAAATATGAACTATTTATAAATTATTTTAAAAAACAGCAGGTTAATATAAATCCATAAAATTCCTGGAAGCTAAGGAAGATTCTGACTACCACTTGCAATCCAAGACATATTTTAAGACAATGCTTTCCCTCTGTCCTCCGTTAAAAGTTAACATTTTACTACATTCCTAGCCAAAACTACAGCTCTTTGTCCCCTGAACTCTATTCAAGCTGATAGCCTAATTCTCCTTACCCACCTGTCCACAGCAGCCAATCTGCTCTTCAGCACAATAATGCTCTTACCTCCAGGTCAGAATGTCCTTGATCCATCAGTTTTTTTTAAAGGGTGTTCTTGTCTCATGTTCTTCAACTCCTGGCTAAGGCATTTCTTCTCCTGAACAGCAGAGACTTCCTCTGCCTGAAGAAGGGTGATTGAGCCCGAAAGCTTGCTGAGAACTTTTTTCCAACTACTCAGTTGATCTAATAAAAGATATCACATCTAGTCAAAGAACATTACCATCTCCTGAAGGCACATGACAACTGTCCCACTGCTTCTTTGCCTGAGTTGGAGGAACAAGGCTAAGTGCTGAGAGAAGCAGCACCCTTGGAGAAGGCAGGTTTGGTGCCCAGTGAAAACAATTGATACATGAGAGGAAATTTGACCACACTATTGTCCCAAGGGCTACGCACCTTCTTCCTTCTTGACATAGTTACACTAATCGCCTCACTAATACTGATTCCGATAGTCTGGCTAGCAACATGCCTTTCTTTGATAGTGAAAACTATGTTAATGGACAATTTATCAATAACATGTCATGTCCTACTCTATAAGTGCTATTGTGTTATCCATACAAGTATGTAACTGAAAGTCACCTGCAATCCATGTATGGATTTGGGAACTTCTTCAGCATGAGGAAGAAGGAGGATCCATGGAATTACAGACCAGTCAACCTGACTTAGATTCCTGGAAAGATCATAAAGCAGGTCCTCAAGGACTGCATTTTGAAGCACCTAGAGGAGAACAAGTGATCAGGAACATTCAGTATGGCTTATCAAGAGTAAGTCATGCCCGACCAACCTGATTTCCTTTAACAATAGGGTAGCAGGCTCTGTAAATGGGTGGAGAGCAGTGGATGTAGCATACCTTGAATTTAGCAAGGCTTTTGACACTGTCTCTAACAGTGTTCTCATTAGCAAGCTAAGAAATACAGGGCACATCTACATGGGACACTTAATGTACAGTAGCCTAATAACACTGTGCAGTAGCGTGCTGGGCAAAACCCATGCTAATATGCTACTGCACAGTAGTATTAGGCTACTGCACAGTAAGCATCACCAAAAAAAACCCCACTGACAC